TATATATATATATATACACTGAGTGGCCAGATTATTATGACCACCCCATCAGTACTTCGTTGGGCCACGAGAGGACTCCACGAGATGACTTCGTTGGGCCGCCTTGTGACTCCACGAGATGTTGAGATACACTGTTGCCCTTCTGTTGTCTTGTACCATTCTTGCCGCTCTCCGTTCTGCCCTAACATTGACTAGTCGCTGACGGCCACAATTCGCACGTTCAGACCCAGATTTTCGGCTGACAGTCCGGTCTTTAAACACTTTAACAACAGCTGCTCTTGAACATGTAACGAATTCTGCTGTTTTGCTGATACTCGCTCCATGGCTCCGAGCGCCAACAATCATTCCACGTTCAAAGACTGTTACATCGCGTTGTTTCCCCGTATCTTCAGAAATCACTTCTACTGTCGTGGTAACCAACCTGCTTCCCTATTTATAATGGTCTGGCCCTCTAGAAACTTCAGGTACAAACGTCAGGTGGTCATAATAATCTGGCCACTCAGTGTATATTGTAAACTAGCTTCAAACAGTAGAGCACTAAGGCCACTGATTTAAATATTCTTTTTTAGGGCTTCCTTGTCCACTTATATTTAAATAAAGTTAAATTCACACACAAAAGGTTACTCTATCAGGGGCTTTAAGCATTTTTCTTCCAAAGCTAACACAAATACTTCACCAGCCTCCTGGCCTCTACGTGCAGAACCACTTTACACTTCAGGCCCCTGTCTGATCCTCCAGACAGATTTCTCTAACATAAGCTCTGTACGTACATCTAGCAGGTCCCCGCTGGATTGCCTCCCACATTTCTCTGAGGTGGAGCCCTCCAGACTCCTGGGTGGAGACCTCCTCTTTCAACCAGATGGAGCCCAGAACTCTAGCCTGCCACCTAACATAAAGGTTTTGCACAGCTGTACCAGCAAGGTGTGGGATGACAGCAAAACATGACCTCAGGGATGGAGGCTTCATCCCATTCAATACTCTACATAGACTCCAGGATCCGGGACTTAATCCAAATCCAGTTTTCTTCTAATGATACAAATATCCTCAGCACCTATGGGGGAGAACCTTGGGTACCACCTAAACCTTCTGACATAGTGGCAAGGAGCAACACTGCCACAATATTTATATTATTAGTATTATGTCACAGTGGACCTGAACCCTAATGGTAAACATTTGCTATGCAATGTTACCTCTAGAAGTGTTCATTGTGCCTAAGCAGCACCTGGAAAAAAATTACCCTTTGTCTGGAATTGCTCCTGAAAAATAGCAGAGCACTTCCTGATTTGTGATGTTGCCTAGAAATGTCAATGTCTACGGCCTCATAGCTTTATATCTGCAGTTTGAGATCTAAGACACTGCTGCCTCTGATTGCTAGTCTCTGGAGATTTGGAGTGAGATTTGGTTATGCCACTACCATGCTGCTCACTGTTCTCTTTCCTGGGGGGCTCTTTAAATTTTTTAATTTTCTATGTACAGGAGGTGGATTTTGTTATTTGTTTCTGGCCATTTTCAAGGCTAATAGGCATACTATTGTAAAAAAAAAAAGACATGAGTAGCAGGGCAGTACCATGAGGGACATGCACCAATGATAAAAATCAAATTTTAAAAACACTGTACAGCAGGGAGAGATTATTTTGATTCAGCTTAAAGAACAACAATAAAAATCCTTTAAATAACATTGTGATGGGGGGTGGGGGTGCCTCAAGCCTGCTTGTGGTGTTATGGAGCAGTACAATTTTTAGTAGTAATTTAAAAAAAATGAAAAACTGCATGGGGTTTCCCCCTAATTTCCACCCAGGCCCTTATCCAAGAAAGCAGCCTGGGTGGCCAGAAAAGGGAAGGCAGCAAGAATAAAAAAAAACCCTGCCCACCCTTCTGTACCAGACGAGACCACATCCCTTTGAACATTGCAAGGGTACATTTGAACATTGCAAGGGTACTTTGGGGTGGATAAGCTCCCCCCCCCCCATGCAAAGCCCCCCTTTTCCCAATGTTGAGGGACAAGAGCCTCTTTCTCAGTATGGGGGTGCCCAGATATCATCCCCCTCCCAGTAGCATCAATACAGGGGAAATTACAACACAAACAGCAAACAAACTGCTATCAATGTCCCTCTATGTAATCCATTGTCAATCACAATGTCCAGTAAGGTAATCTACTTCAATGTTGGCCTCCAGTGATCTAAATCTACTTCAGTCTTGATGACCCATCGCTCGTCAATCCTTACACATTACACTCTGATCAGTGGCGGAACTACCAGGGTCGCAGAGGTCGCGGCTGCGACCGGGCCCTGGAGTTCCGCCACTTGGAACCCTGAACTGTGTTTACAAGCCTTAAATCAACCAAAAAAGATTTTTAAATGCCCCCAATAATAAAGACAACACAAAAATGCAGCAAAGGGGTTGATCATCTAAAGAGTAGCAATTAGCAAGTAAAGATTTGGTTGTTGGCATCAGGGGCGTCCCGAGGCTGGGTGACACCCGGAGCGGTAACCACGCACGTGCGCGATGACGTCATCGCGCACGCGTGGCAGTATCCTGATACATGCCGGCGGCCATCTTGGTGATGGATGAGAGAGAGGAGGGGACAGTCACCCGGCGGGATGAGGTATGCCGCCGGGTCCCCTCCTCTCTCCTGATACTGTCGGGTGTTCGGTCCCTGACTGAGTGCCCGACTTTTCAGAGGGGGCTGACACCAAAATGACTGTGAGTCATTTCGGTGTCACCCCTCCAATGGTGTCACCCGGGTGCGGGCCGCACCCCCCTTGTGACGCCACTGGTTGGCATCACCCAAGGTTCCCAGTGCTGTGTTTACATGCCTTAAATCAACCAAAAAGATTTGCTGCATCCCTCCCCTCCCTCCTTTCCTTCCTTCCTTCCTAGCTCCTCTGACCTGCACATATGGCCTCGTCTGCCGCCGGACCGGCCAGAAGTGGCGTCACATCACTAACCTGACGTCACTTCCGGCCAGTCCGACATCAGACGAGCAGCGTCGCTGATGGGGCCCCAGCCTGTCTCGAAGCCGCTGGAGCGGCAATCCTGGGGCCCTGCACTGCTAGGGCCAGGCCTCCGCCTCCTCGCCCTTCAACGTCGGCCGATAGTCATGTAAGGGACCCGGCGGGCCCCCCAGGCTACCCGGGCCCCTTACATGAGTATCGGCCGTACCCCCCCTGATGGCTGTCCTGATGGGGGGGGGATTGCAGCTTGTTTCCCTTAGGTCTTACACTGTCCCATCTAAGGAGGAGATGCCTGCCTCTTTCCATGGCAATGCCCAAGGCCTAGGAGGGACTGACTTCTTAGGTGACATACTTACAGGGCAAAAGACCAGGACAGAAGAGACAGAACAGTGGGTAGTGCTGAGCCGAACAGGCCCGAGTTCGGTTCCAATTCGAACTTTAGAACACCCAAAAGGTTTGAATTCGAACTCAAACTCAATGCAAGTCAATGGGGGTAGAACTTTCAAATATAATTGTCCCCTTTAAAATGGCTTATATGGAAGTTATTGGCCATAAAAGGTGTATGGGGATCCGGGTATTGCCCCGGGGGACAGGAATCAGTGAAAAAAAACACTTTTAAAAAATACAGTTCTTAAAGGAGCACTACTTAAAGGGTAACAATAACAATTAAACATTCCTTTAAATACCGTATCTGGGGGGTCCCCTTAACCTGCCTGTGGCAAATCTGTACGATGTATAGAACCTGCTGCAGCAAAACTGACATTTCTAAAGAAAAATAAATTACATTTTTTTTACAGCGTGCAGTTCCCCCTCCCAAACAATACCAGACACTTTAGGTCTGGTAGGAATGTTAGGAGGGACCAAGTAAAAAAAAAAAGCGTGGGGTTCCCCCCAAATGTCATACCAGCCTTTAAGGTCTGGTAGGAATATTGAGGAGGAACCCCCATTTAAAAAACAAACAAAAAAAGTGTGTGGGGTTCCCCTTAAAGTCCCTACCAGACCCTAAAGGTCTGGTAGGAATTTTAAGGAGGAACCCCACCCCCAAAAATGTGGGGTCCCCCCTAAAATTCCATACCAGACCCTTCATCCAAGCATAGGCCTGGCATGGCCAGAAAGAGGGGGGGGGGGATCAGCGAGCTCCCTCCATACCAGACTACATGCCCTCAGCACTGGGAGGGTGCTTTTCCAAGGTCGCTCACGTTCGACTCCAACATCCAGCCCAACCCTAACAGTGGGATTGTAGTATAGAAGAACATAAAGCAATTGTAGATCTCTTACATTACTCAAATCCACATTGGAGAGCTACATTTATTCCCCAGTTGGCAGTTCCCTTATCAACTTTTTTTTAAAAACTGTAATAATTCCCCAGAAATTCCCTGGAGGGGTAAGGAAACTGAGTCTCGGATGTAATCAGATTTATTATAAAAGCAGCACTTGTTTCCAGATAGGATTCAGTCACATGTCCGGATGGTAGAAGACGGATACGTCTCGTGTACCGGAGATCCGATATTAAAGGAAAGCTATCACGTCTTTTCCCTAAACATCTAATACTTAATATCAATGATGATTCTACTGATGACATGGTTAGAGAACCAACAAATGAGTACATGGCCCAATAACATTAATTCCTCCTTATTTCCATATTCTGCTCCTTCATTGTAACAGTCAATGCCCCTCAGGCAGGTAAGTCACAGTTCAATCCTCAAGGTGGGTGGTTCAGCACTATGCTGTTACCTTCCTTTTCCACATTTTGAGCCATCACCTTATAGCTTTCATGTACAGTATGCTGTGATGCTGTGCAGAGAACACTGAGTCAGTCACATCAGTCTCTGCACCAAAGGAGCTTACACTCTAATGCAGTATCTTCCATGTTACTAATAGGGGGAAGATACCATCACCACAAGAAGACATAACAATTTTTGGGAGGAAATTGATCCCAGGCTTATAGTGTTAGAAAAGGGGGGCAAAGGTCTGGCCACTATGCCAGCTGCCGGGTCATTTTAAGCAGTCAGCTTGTTCATTGCAAAGTTTAAGGGATAGAAATTCAATAATTTTCCATTTTGGAAACAAAGCCAGGAATGTTAACAGCCAAGTCCACTCTAAACTGGTATTTTGGGTGGATGAAAGTTGGGTAACACTTTTATTTTGACTTGCTTGTGGCAACAGAGGCCCGGTGACATGTGCTACTGTTGGATTCCACAACCAAAAGGAGTCTCTAAAAAGTCTAAATGTCAATCCTAACAGTTAACCTTTTTGCTCCCTTTTGATCGATTAACTAATAATCGAAAGTGCTATTTGATTTAGATCAAAACAATCCTTTTGACCCTGCCAGATATCCAGTGAGCTTGAATAGTCCGGAAGTGAGCTGTCAACACTGTGCCTCTGCAGTGCCAAAATCCAAAGGAGTCTCTTCTGCCCTGCCTAGATCCCCTCTAGGGACTACAGCCCACCTCTTCTGTGTATAACTGCCATGTGAAAGCAACGCTGCCCACCCACTGTAGATATGTGGTTCCATGTGATGAAGGAAAACCATGCAGATAGGGACCCTAACCACCTCTTTCGATTGTAAAAAGGATAACTGTTGAGCTACCTCTTTGGCTTGGATAAGGTACACCACTTCATCAGAATCCCAGAAGGCGTGCACTTCTTAAAACAGTAGGAAGGTAAAGATGACCCTAGACAATAGTGAGGGTCAATCAGGGGACCCTGCTATCCCTTGTCCTCCACTCTTCTTATTACCATTCCCATCTGGGTCATGCCCACCTCCTCTTTGTTTTCCTTCTCACCCTATTAGGAGTCCTCACCCTTGCTAACCAACTTTCCTTACCTCTTCCCCTCCTCTGTTCCTAAACGTCTTCCCCCTTTTTCACAACCACTACTTCTCTTTCCTACACTTTCCTTTTTCTCTTTTTCACCCTGAACATGGGTCACTCCCTTTCTATACCCCATACAAAATATGGGTGAGAGAGGAACAAGAATCCATACACCTCAGATGACTCGGGATATCTAGGTTACCAGATAAATGGATTGCTTGGAAATTGTTATATCTTAAAACATACTGAAACGTCTGATCTACATGATGGGCAACATTTCATAATTCTATTCATTCCATCTGTATGCCGTTCTTCTGTTGCTCAACTTAAATAATGAATCGAATTATAACAAAGCCACACTGAGTGTAATGGTAGCTTCATTTTATATTTCATTGGTACACTTAAAGGAGAACTATGGGGTCAGGGCTTTTCCCCATTGTTCTCCTAAGGGTAACGGGAGGACACAAACTAGCTTCCTCCCGTCACCCAAAGCTCAGTATACCGCAAGCTACAGGTATAATGAGATGGCGCAGCCAGAACGGATCCCGACAATTAAGTGTTGATCCACCCAGCTGCGTGAGTGACAGCTGGCTCTGCCTATCTAGAGGCAGAGCCAGCTGTACCCGCCCCCTCCCCCGTCCGTTCCGCCAGTCAGCGCTGGAGGATCAGAGCGGGGAGGGGGGAATCCAGTCACTACCCTGTCACGGCTCTCTGCAGGGATAGATCGAGAAGTGAGCGAGCGCCGGTATGTGTTTGCTCACTTCCGATCTCACTTAACGAGCCGACCTGTGACAGTTTCATTGTCACAGGTCAGCTCAGATTATGAGGCTGAGTGAAAATCACTCACCTCATAGTTCTCCTTTAAAGTGACATTAAACCCTCAGATTTTTTAACATAAACCAATACTGTAATGTGCCCCTTACTGTAATCCATGGTTGTTTCCCTTCTCTTTGCTGCTCTTCCTTTTAAATCCTCATGTCTTCTCATGCTGGACAGAACTTCCCTTTGCAGCTCAGGGCCTCTTCCTGTAGTGCTGGCTCAGATTACAAGCCTATGCAAACGGATACACAGACACCATGTATCCATTCCTGAGACAAGGCAGTCTGCTGCAAAACAGAAGTTCTGCAGAGCATGAGAAGAGATGAGGATTTAAAAGGAAGAGCAGCAAAGAGAAGGGAAACTACCATGGATTACAGTAAGGCGCACATTACAGTATTGTTTTATGTTAAAAAATCTGAGGGTTTAATGTCACTTTAAGGATTCATTGATAGTGAAACTTTTTAAACAATGGAACACTCGGAAAGAAAAAAAAGATGATAGGGGTACTATCCATTTCCTGTTCTGTTCAAAATTAATAATGTGTTTTTTTTAAAGCAATATAACAATGTGGGGCAGATAAGCTCTAAATCGTCTTTTGTTAGGGAAGGAGCGAAGTCCCCCTGTTTGCTGGATTGGAACCCAATAGCAGGGAACAATACCAGAAGGGGAGTCCAGGCTGAGGTACAAGAAAGGATAATCCAAAATGCGTTGTCAGAGTACAGTCTGGGTCGAGGCAGGCAGAGAGTATCATAAACTATGAGACAAGCCCGGGGTCGATAACCAGGAGATCCAAATAGCAGGGAAGGAAGGCAGGAAACAGTAAACAGGAAATGAGGCATCGTAGCTGCTTTGGGAATTGCAAAATAACTCAGCAACAAATCTTGGCTCTGGCTGGAATTTAAACACAGCAGGGGCCAGTGACGCCCCTCCCAGATAGCAAGGATAACTTGCCACAAACTTGTGTCGGGGTTAAATTGTAATTTTGTTAACTTGCTGCACACATTCCTGGCAAGTTGTAGACTTGCAGAACACTCGCAGCACAAGTTCTAGTTGAAACTTTTTGAATTTGTAGCAAATTTGCTTGGCAAGTCTACAGCAAGAGTCCTGCAGGTCTTAGCAAGAGCTCTGCAAGCTCGCTGGTCTGGAGACTTGCAATGCAGACTTGCTGTAACTGTGCAACAAAATTGTGAAGCTTGGCAACTCTGCAAGAGTTTAGCAAGTCATTTTCAAACTTGCAGCACAATTTCTTGCTGTCTGGGCTGTTGTCTGGGCAACAAGGAAGCCACAGGTCCCTGGGAACCAATGGGACAGCTAGGAGAGAAGGAGTGCTTGCAAGGCCCTACCTGGCAATGATCAGCACCCGAAGCGACTAAGAAGCCACGGCAGCACCACATGCGCACGTCACACACGCACGTCATGCATGCACTAATGCGTGTACCCACGACATGCCACCACCGGGCACCAAATCACCCCAAGAAGGACCCTACAATCTCCACCGTACCCGCCGGATCCCCAGGTAAGAGGGCACCCCTGGTCCCACGACATCTCTCCACCACTTCATGGGTAGTTTTTGATAAGAAATTTAAAGATGTCTTCTCAAGTTAGCTACCAGGTTCTTTTCCTTAACATTTTACCTATAAGTCAAATACATTATAGATGTTTTTTTATATGTTATATGAAATGTAGAATCCCTTTTAAATGTTGATATTTGTAACCCTGCTATGTTATTGCCCCATTACAGACCAAGAACTCAGTGGGCAGCAACGCAACACAAGTGACCATGTTTGAGTTGACTGGGCTAACAGATAATAAGAGACTTGTCCCGTTCCTATTCATATTGTTCCTGATGATATACATGGTGACTCTAATGGGCAATGTTGGGATGATAGGTCTTGTCCGTGCCTTCTCCAGTCTTCACACCCCGATGTACTACTTTCTGAGTTACCTCTCCTTGGTGGACCTCGTCTACTCCTCCACTATAACACCTAAAATGTTGGCTGACCTCATTTCGGTCAGGAAGTCGATCTCATTTATTGGTTGTGTCCTCCAGATTTATTTCTATGCTGCCCTGGCAAGTATTGAAGTTCTGCTTCTCTCAAGCATGTCGTATGACCGATACGCAGCCATCTGTCACCCTCTTCACTATGTCTCAGTAATGACAAAGGATAAATGTTCTTCTTTGGTCCTCTTGTCTTTCTCCGTTGGCTTAATGCAGTCATTAGCACAGACCAGCTGTGTGTTTAGCCTTCAGTACTGTAGGTCTAATCTCATCGACCATTTCTACTGTGAGATCCCTCCATTGTTGAAACTGTCCTGCTCTGACACTTTCTTTTGTGAGGTTTTAACACTGTTTTTTGTAAGTACTTTAGGACTATTTTCCTTGATAACAGTTCTGATCTCCTACATTCTCATTGTTTCATCTATATTACAAATGAAGTCTGCAGATGGACGGCAGAAAGCCTTTAGCACATGCTCATCCCACCTCATGTGTGTCTCCATCTTCTTTGTTACAGTCTTCTTCGTTTACTTACGGCCAGACACTCGGGTTCTTGAGAAGCAAGACAAGGTGGCGTCTGTATTTTATTCAGTAGTCACCCCAATGCTGAATCCTCTAATCTACAGCTTGAGGAACCAGGATGTCAAGAGGGTCATAATAAAAGCAATCCAAGGATGTTGCTAACATATATATTGAAGCTGAAGTATGTAGTGTAATAGTATATCTATTTATATTTATATGCGTTGTGAAAATCCAGGCAACCTCAGCTCTTTTCCGGAGAGTAGCGTTTAATCCAACAAAAGGCAGATGAACAGGAACAGTCCAACAGAGTAATACAGAGTAATGATAAAATAAAGTAAATTAATGAAGATTCCCAGAGAGTACCCTTCTCTATACCAGCTCTCTCTCTCTCTTCCTTTCTCCCCTCTCCCATTTAAGTCTCTCCTTGATATACCCATTTTCCTCATTCACCAAAATGTGGAAGAAGCTGATTGGTTGACCAGAAAAAAACCTTTGATCTTGTTATCAAACAGGTCCTTGATTCCCATTTACACTGGAACAATTGCATCTCCATTGAAATGCTTTCAGCTATCACTTGCCTTATTGTCTGACACCAATTGCATTGTTTATATGTAATCACAAATACAAGGCCCTGCTGGTGCCACCAAACATCTTATCAATCCCAATAACATAGGCCTCTCCCTTTCTGCATATTGTTTGTGGGGAAAGAGTTTGTTATTTATTGTCCAAATATTTGCCCTTCCCTTTTAGATAGGACATGCTAAACAGCTGGGACAGGGGACTTATGCATTTCTTCTGTGAGTTTAATTGTCCCAAGGAATTCTTTTAATGTGGAATTAAATCCTAGATCACAATCAGAGATATACACACACACATATATAATATAAAAACCCAAGTGAATATCCTACAAAGTAAAGTCCGCTGTGCCTGGGGGGTTCTTGTCATAAAATGCAAGTCATACTTGCACATTAACCTGACAAGTGTGCTCTCCGCCAGCACTTCCACCATATCATCCTCTGCTTCTTCTGGGTCCCTGTCATCCTCTTCGACCATTGGACTACCTGTGATGATGTCATTCCTACACATGTGCACACCAGTTATGTCGTCTTCGGCACCCAGCTTGATTCTCAGCACACTGCAAATGCCCGGAAGGAGCCGGGGTTGTACACTCTATTTGCCGTACAGTGTACACAATAGAGAAAAACTTCTAAAAGTTAGGAGCAGTTGATTTTTGGTATAAGAGACTTGGTGTGCCTATTCTGCCAAAAACTCTCATTTCTAGCAGTTTATTTTTTATTTTTTGGGGTTTACCTCCACTTTCCAGGGGCGTAGATAAGCGGGGGATAGGGGGGTTCAACCCCCCCCCAGAGTGTCCTGGCAGTGGCTTAGCGAGGGGAGGCACTTGCTCCCCGGCGCTGGTCTGAAGAACATCCACAGACGGCCATGGCCTTCTAAAGAGATGCCGCGGATGTCCTGTTTGATAAAACATCGGTGACGGCTGGAGGAGAGCTGAATATATTGGATATATATATTTGATATTTTATCAAACAGGACATCCCCGGCATCCCTTCAGACGTACATGTGCCGGACTGGCCTTGGATGATCTGTACATGCCAGTGTGGGCTCTGCAGGAGGCAGGATGTCCTTCCAGTGACCAGGATCAGAAGGCTGCATGGAGACAGAAGCAAGGATAACATTGAGCGGCACAGTAGTGACACATACCAAGAAGTGACGTGATATGTTTGAGTGACTTTATTCAGCAAGCGCTACTTCCCAGATTATCATTTGCTACAGGTATTTATATCATGCTATCAATTCATGGATCACCTTAGGTGCTGCTGACTGTCTCTTCTTGCTCTCTCTCTTGGTTGTTTCTCCTTGCTCTCTCCCCTGGCTGTCTCTCCTTAATCATCCTCCTGGCTCTCTCTCCTTGCTCTCTCTCCTGACTGTCTTTCCTCGCCCTCTCCCCTGGCTGTCTCTCCTCACTCTCTCCCCTGGCTGTCTCTCCCCTGGCTGTCTCTCCCCGCTCTCTCTCCTGGCTGTCTCTCCTCCCTCTCTCTCCTGGCTTTCTCTCCTCACTGTCTCTCCTGGCTGTCTCTCCTCACTCCCTCTCCTACTGGTCTCTCCTTACTCTCTCTCCTGGCTGTCTCTCCTCACTGTCTCTCCTGGCAGTCTCTCCTCACTCTCTCTCCTGCTGGTCTCTCCTCACTCTCTCTCCTTGCTGTCTCTCTTCACTCTCTCTCCTGACTGTCTCTTCTTGTTCTCTCTCCTTGCTCTCTCCCCTGGCTGTCTCTCCTCAATCATCCTCCTGGCTCTCTCTCCTGTCTATCTCTCCTTGCTCTCTCTGCTGGTTGTCTCTCCTCGCTCTCTCCCCTGGTTGTCTATCCTCGCTCTCTCCCTTGGCTGTCTCTCTCCTCGCTCTCTCTCCTGGCTGTCTCTCCTCACTCTTTCCTCTATATTCTCCCAAACAAATTTCCACGCAGTGCTCGAGTGTTTGGGTTTCCCTTGAAGAAAAGGTGGCACCCCTACCTTCTACAAAATATTTAAAAAGGGAGTAAAACTATTTCCTGGGTAAATCTTGGTTTGTAAAGATGGCAGAGGCCCACTAGAGGGCTGTATTCCTGGGGTCACTTATATCTGAATGGAATGTCTGAATGTCCATAGATCAATTGCTCAAATACAGCAGCTGGAAGACGTGCAAAGGCAAGGAATAGAGAGGGTCACTTGATTAATCAAGAAAATAAGACAGTTGTTCCTCTTCTCTGTATTCCTCCAAAAATACACCTAAAATATGAATTTCTACATCTCGCAGCATTGTGCAATTTGCAGACAATTTACAAGTCACAGATCAGTAATTGGCTTGCTCCTATTCTCCGAGGATGAACCTTTGCCTGGGGCAGTGGAGATTTAGGCTCTCGGGTAATGGAGTCTTATATATAGATGATGCATTTGTAGAGGTGAGAAGATGCACAGACCCCTTGTGTATGCCGATCAGAAAAGTCACTCTGTGGCTCACGGCAGCTTGGAGGACGTTCCAGGTAATGAAATATAAAAAAAAACCTTTAATGCAGCAGTCCAATAAGATAAGATAAATATTTAAAAAGCAGTGAATCTGACATTCAACCAAATTCCTCTGCAGGTGAATCTTCCAGGTCCATGTGTTATAAACGGCAGTGGCTGATTCCCCACCGAGAATGTTTGGTGCAAGTGACATTCACAGCTTAGTCTGAGAGTCGATGCAGAGCATCAATGTGGTCTTTCATCTCGGGAACTGGGGGCTGCATACACAGTTTAAACACGTATACACCACCAAATAAAAGTTTTAGAATAACTTAATTTTCCCATTTTTATGAAATGTAAGTATTTAAATGTCCAAATGTTCTCTGAAATTACAGCATAAAAATGAGAAACAATTTGAGATAAAAATGAAATTATCAAGTTACAAAGCCACCTTTTTAACCACACCCCCTTGCCCTGAAGAAGAGGGTTCAGAACATCATCCTTGTGGTCCCCTGATGCAGTCCTTGCAATCTGCTTACTGGTCTTGATGCAACACTTCGTTGTGAAGTGACTACACCACTGTAAAGACCCTGCCAACTGATAGGCAATAGGAAGCTTTTATGGCACCAGCCAACAACGTGGGCACCCCAAGGAGATTATCTGGTGTGTCAAGTGACCACAGATTCAGGTGAGTATTTGTGTTACTTTTTTTAATTACCAAGGTGATTAACTAGAGGGGGTAGGGTGTTGTGGTTGCAGGAAGAGTAGGTGGAGGTGCTTTGAAGGTTTTTTGGCCAGACGTCAGCTTTAAACATATTAATAAAATCTCCTGTAAGCAGGGCCGGATTTACTCTCTCTGCTGCCCCAAGGCCAAGTACCTCAATGCGCCCCCCTACCCACCAAACCACCCCCCCACCATTGAGAATGGCAGACCTGCAGGTTGCATACAAGTGATCTTGGCGACATCGCCGGGATCACTTGTACAAAACAAGAGGCGGCTTCCCCCGCTGTACATTTAGCTCTGCTTGCCCAAAGCAGGGCTAAATGTAGAAAACAACTACCCGCCCGGTGCCCGGGAAATAGGAATTCCACACCCCTGCTGCCCCTCTACTCCCTGCTGCCCCAAGGCCGGGCCTTGGTTGGCCTTGTGTGAAATCTGGCCCTGCCTGTAAGATACATTTTCCAGAGTAAAGACATTGTCATCCAATATAATACCATAAATATGATATTTATTTCATCCACCACAGGGCAAAAACTCTATAAATATGGTAAAAAACCAGACGCAAGTAGCCATGTTTGAGTTTTCTGGTTTGACCGATGATCGGAAACTTGCCCCATTCCTCTTTGTGTTCTTTTTGCTTGTCTACCTGGTGACTATACTTGGAAACGTTGGGATGATGGTAATTGTTCACATCTCTCCCAGCCTCCACACTCCGATGTACTACTTCTTGAGCCACCTGTCTATGGTAGACCTCCTCTACTCCTCAGTAATTACTCCCAAAATGTTGTCCGACCTTCTTTCTGAGAAGAGACAGATCTCTTTCGTTGGTTGCGCTCTTCAGTTCTGCTTCTTTGCTGGCCTGGCAAGTACAGAGATCTTTGTCCTGTCGAGCATGTCGTACGACCGATATGTTGCTATCTGTCACCCGCTCCACTATATCACACTAATGACCAAAAAGAAATGTCGGGGGTTTATTCTCACTGCTTTCTCAATAAGCATTGTGCAGTCAACATCATCAACCAGTTGCATGTTCACTCTCCAGTATTGTGGTTCAAACCTCTTAGACCATTTCTATTGTGATATCCCACCAATACTTAAACTGTCTTGTTCCAATACTCGTCCTTGTGACATTTTAACCGTGTTTTTTGTATGTTTTTGCACAATAAGCTCGTTGACGACCATCCTGGTCTCCTATACGCTCATCATTTTGGCAATTCTACAGATGCAATCCACCAAGGGTCGACATAAAGCTTTTAGTACATGCTCATCCCATCTAATGTGTGCTACCATGTTTTATGTGACTGTTTTCTTCACTTACTTACACCCCTCTTCTAGCCGCCTTGAAAAACAGAATAAGGTGGCCTCTGTCTTCTATGCAATGGTGACCCCAATGCTAAATCCTCTCATTTATAGTCTGCGGAACCAGGAGGTGAAGAGGGTTACTTTGCACTTACTGTATAAACATGAAAATTGATATGATAAAAATTCTTACTTTTTAAGCCTAATGGTTTATCATAATCAATTGTCTTTTCCCCCCGAAATTTCTGTTTTAAGTTCTTTTCTTTATCTCAGTGATGTTAACTCCTTCAGCTTCTCTTAGCCACTTCTTGTCTACGTGCCCTCACTCCAGTGTGTGCACATAATTTCTCTACACTGGCTTCATAATAATGACAATGGTGGACTGTGACCTTGCAATGGCTGCTTGTAGTCTCCACCAGGGGTGCATGTGACAGGGTAACAACGACGGAGCACGATTAGGAGACTGTTGTCAACCCATAACAGGAAATCCTGAACAAAGACGTTCATGGCAAGACAACCAGGTGTTATTTAAATCAGGGGCGCCCACAATTTTTGTGTTAAGATCTACTTTTCAAATGAGGAGCTGCATGAGATCCACCAACGAAAAAAACCTCCCTCACTCTCTCTCTCCTGGCTGTCTCTCCTTGCTCTCTCTCCTGGCTGTCTCTCCTTGCTCTCTCTCCTGGCTGTCTTTCCTCATTTTCTCTCCTGGCTGTCTCTCTTTGCTCTCCTGGCTGTCTCTCTTCACTCTCCTGGCTGTCTCTCCTTGCTCTATCCCCTGGCTGTCTCTCCTCACTTTCTCTCTCCTGGCTGTCTCTCCTCTCTCTCCTGGCTGTCTCTCCTCTCTCTCCTGGCTGTCTCTCCCAACTCTCTTTCCTGGCTCACTTTGCAGTATTTTGCAACAGGCTGTATAAAGTAATATTCTTTGATGTAATACATAGCACTACAACCCCCAGTATCCACCAGAAAGGTGTCAGGGAGCTCGGCTCAGCAGACTCAGGCTAATAGGTAATCATGTGCGCACTGCTAAATAAAAATACCAAAATGGAATATAGGGGCCGCCATTCACACCCTTCCTGATCTACCAGCATCAGCTTTGAGAGCTACTGGTAGATCACCATCTACCTAAGGGGCACCCCTGATTTAAATATGTGTCTGCATCCCCCCTCTGCCGATCCCTGCACTGGCTTCCACTCACCCAGAGGATAAAATTCAAAATATAAACAATCACTTATAAAGCCATCCACAACTCTGCTCCAGGATATATCTCAGACCTTGTCTCAAAATATCACCCTAACCATCCACTCCACTCTTCCCAAGACCTCCTGCTTTCCGGCTCCCTAGTCAACTCCTCCCATACTCGCCTCCAGGACTTCTCTAGAGTCTCTCCCATCCTCTGGAACTCTTTACCCCAACCTCTCCGTCTATCTCCCACTCTAACTGCCTTTAGGCGATCCCTTAAGACTCATCTCTTTAGGGAAGCTTATCCCACCTCAAACTAACCGCTCAACCATCACGTTCGCAAACAATTCATCCCCACACAGCTACCTCCTCATGTATCACTGGCCCCTCCCTTTTAGACTGTAAGCGCTCAGGGGCAGAGCCCTCCTTACCATCTTGTCTTGAATTGTATTGTGATTGTAATGTCTTCCTTATATTGTAAAGCGCTGCACAAACTGTTGGCGCTATATAAATACTATGTAATAATAATAATAAATAATTCGGAAGTTTAAAATACATTATAATGCTAACGTTTTTTTGTGTGATTTTAATGATTGGGTTTAGATCTACTTTAAGCTCTAGTATAAAATCAAGTTGTTTGAAGCTGAACTCGGGAGGGAAGAAAATGTGATTTATTTTAGGTATGTATTATAAGGAATATGATGGGAATAAAGCATATAGAAATGTAATATGTATCAGTTGACCAAATTTCTGATTGTATTGTTCCAATTCGTTGTAGCCTTTTCCTGGGGAAGCGGTTTTTACCGTGAGAGGCATAGAAAGTACCTTCTCTATCAACATACTTTGTCAAGCACAGCATGGACAACGCTATCGTAGCATGCTGTCAGGGTTTCTTACCTTTCCTTGTCCAGTTGCTTGCAGCATGGCTTGTTTGCGGTATGTCTGACACTGTTTGTTCCTCTTTGGCACCCTCTTATAACCAAAGCCGTTAACATTATCATACTGACAAAATGTCTGGCAAATTGCTGTCTCAAACCAGTTCACTATTTAACCATCAGCTGATCCATTCAGTCTATGCACTTGCGTGTGTTCTGATCTACCAAGTGCTCTGCTGTTGTTCCTGTTCTCCGTTTGTGACCCTGGCTCTGGCTGACTGAACTGCTGGTTCCTGACTCCAGCTAGTGTTTCCATTCATACTGCTCTCAGTGTTCCCTGACCTGATTCGGCTGACTACCCTCTTTGCCATCTGACCTCTGGCTTGGCACTGACAAAGTCCTGGAATTTCTCTGTTGTTTTTTGCCATTTATGTTTATTATTGTTTTCTTTTATTTTTTTTTATTTTTTTAAATTGACAATTTTTATTGTGTATTTCGCATATATGAGTTACAAAACTTACAACAGTATGTGAGGCATCCAAGATATGAGGTATGTTATCAGTCATCACATCGCGTATCCAGTTACATTTTCAATTGTAAGCCTAAAAACCTTTTTCATAGAGCAAATTTTTTCCTGTGCGTCTTGCTAGTTTCTTAATGTATCGTGATTGCTACTCTTTATTACTTGTAGTTTTCCGAATCTGTATAGCTTATCTTTTTTAAGATCTACATTCAACCAATACCGTTATATTTCGATACCTCGACGATTAATTTAACATGCTTAAAAACTCTATAGTTATAGATTAACAAGTAAAGAAAAGGAAAGGAAAGAAAAGAACTTGTGTACAGTCTTCCTCCAGGGCTTCGTCTCCGATGTTTACCACTTTCAGCCTTTATCAGTGTTCCTCCCATATTCCCTTGCCTTGTATCCTGTTCTCCCTCACCCTACACGCTCCCCTTCTATCTGTTCTTCCCTTACCTCTCCATTCAAGTATACCTCAAAGCTATCCCACGGTCTCCACACCGCTTTGTGAGCTTCTACTGTGTTATTTAGGCGCGCTGTCAGATATTCCATAACTTGCACGTCCTTAATTCTGGTATAGAGATCTAGTTTCGATGGAGGAAGTTTACGTTTCCATTGCAGCGGTATGAGACAGCGGGCTGCCGTGAGAATATGTGTAATCAGTTTCCTGGTATTCTTTGAGAGGTCCGGGAAGGGTAAGCCTAACAAGTAGTGTATAGGTTGCGGTGAGAGTGTCTGTCCCACTATTTGTTCTAGGATGCGTTTGACTTCCCCCCAGTAGGCTTGGATCCGTGGACAGGTCCAGAATATGTGAAAAAGGGTGCCTCTTGTATCTTCACACGTCCAGCAATTTGGGGATATCTTCGGGTTTAGCGTATGAAGGAAGTCCGGTGTATGATACCAATGGTACATTATTTTGTACTGGTTTTCTTTATACACCGAACAAATGGAGGACTTTGCAGCCATCCTCCAGATACGTTCCCATTGCTGCGGCGATATTGTGGTTGCCAGGGCATTTTCCCATTTACGTATATATAGATGCTCTGTCCCTCCTTGTTCTGAGTCTCCGTTAAGCATACTATATAGAAAGGAGATCATGCCTCTAGTGGAATGTGGTGCCAGACATTGTGTTTCGAAGGGTGTGCGAGAGGGGAAGGTCGTTGTTCTAGTTATGGACTGTGCAAAGTGTTTGATTTGCAGATATGAGTAGATAGCTCTCGGTGGTAGATCATGTTCCTCCCTAAGTTGGTCAAAGGGCCTTATACTGTTTGTAATCCTGTCCAGTAAGTCCCTTATGTGAAACAGTCCTCTGGATCCCCACATACCTATCCAGTTCTTAGAAACCCCTGCCTGTAGTTTAGGATTCATCAGAAAGGGAGTCAATGGGGATTTTGCCGTCGTCAACCTTTTGGATATCTTGACTTTATTCCATATGTCTAACGTGAGTCTGGTGGAGGCCAGCAAAGCGCCCCTGAACATTTGCTCTGGAGTGGACCTTAGCAATGCATTTGGGTGAACTGGTGCTAGCCACAAGCCTTCTATGTTCGCCCAACTCGTGGGGGGAGTGAGTTTTGTTAACGCCGGTACTACTCTCAGTTGGGCCGCTTGGTAGTATGTGGGGAAATGCGGCAGGGCCTGACCCCCCTTTGCCTTTGGCGCGTATAATATCTTTTGCGATATTCTATGTCGTTTCGCCTGCCATAAGTAGTTCAGTACCTCCTTTTGAAAACATTTCAAATCTATAGTTGGTATTCTAGTTGGCAATGCTGTAAAGTAGTACAATAGTTTCGGCAATAATGTCATTTTAACCGAGGTCAGTCTGCCCGTGAATGACAGTCTCAAGGATTTCCATTTCTGCAGTAAAAATCGGAGCGATTGAAATAGTGGTTTGTAGTTAGTCGCATATAGCGAGTGTAAATTGTTTGTAATGAATATTCCCAAGTATTTAATTTTGTCACTTTTCCAGCTAGAAGAAGCGCTGGAGTGTCAGCAGAAGGTGAAAAAGAATGAAGTTGAATTGGCTCAATCTAAGAGTGAAAAAAACAACGTTAGCAAAAAACAGTCATATAGACTAACCATGGGGGGTTAATAACCTCCCTTGAAGCATATGAATAAACCATGTGATAGTGCAGTCCAGTTGGTGGGAATATTACCACCTCCTAAGATCGTTAGTATACCTTTATCATCTACTAACTTTATCATCTACTAGTTTTGAAAGGGGCCCCCTCAAAGTTTATGTCCGGTATATTACGAGCCTTTCGCAGTATTTCCTCTTTGACCTGAAAATAGTGAAGTCGACATATGACATCTCGCGGTGCAGAGGAGGTGCCTCTAGGACGCAGCGCTCTGTGCGCCCTATCTAGCTCCACTTTTTGCAATGCCGGAGTACCAAGCACAGTGTTAAATAGAATTTGCAATTTGGCGTGGAGGTCTTCTGGTCCATCAGCCTCTGGGAGCCCTTTGATTCTCAGATCATTTCTCCTTCCTCTATTATCTAGGTCTTCAACTCTGCGTTGTAGCTCTCGAATTTCAAAGGAATGATCGATTTGTTGCGACTGTATCTTATAAACCACTTTTTTTGTCGCCTGCATGTCT